GTAATTACATTTGCATTCCAGCTGCGTTACTTTTAATGAATGGAAATGCGTCTATACCTCATAGATGATTTACATTTGTTGTTCGCTCAAAATAGCTGTTCATTGTAGTCACACCTATGGTCGGACAAATACCGCCCTCGCAAGCCCACGTACTTGAATCGGGTCCAGACAGGATTCGATTGGAACAAGTACAACCAGACACATTATGACATGGACAATCCGCCGCCGAAAATCGTTCAGGGCTACAAGTTCAATGTAAGTAGTGTTTGCCTTCGTGCGAACTATCATTCGTTGTTATTGAAAATTTTCTCAAAATTTTTAAATTTTAACGTTTAACATGTCACATTAGGTTTGGATGTTTTAGAGTGGTTTAGTAATTCCTTTGATTTCATTCCAAAAAAGATCAGGTCAAGTTGTTTTATACGATACTAGTTTTAATCGATTTATAAATAGATGCATCGCGTAGTGCGACATTAAACAGCAGCTCTTATAACGTAATGCGAAAAGTGTTCTTTTTCAAACTGATTAAGTGACATAAATATTTAAGAATCAACGTAAACTTAGAATTGTTGAAGCTTTCTGTCAGCGTTTGTGCAGTTAGGTCTTCCGGTGCTGTAATTGTTTACTTTATTTGCAGATTTTCTACCCTGATCTACTGGATCCGACAATTACTCCTTCGTTCACAGTCACCCCTTGCGACGATCCTGATTTTGCCGTGTTACGGTTCAAGGTCTGTTTTTCAACTCTTTTGTAATATTGTCCCTTTGCTTGAGTCTTAACGTATACTTATTTACGGGTAAGTGTGCAGTTAGTTTTGGGAGGTGTTGGGCAAAAATTGCTAGCTCCAAATTTTGCTTGGAAAGTCGTTCACTTTGGGTTTGAATAGATCGATTTTTTTGAATTTTTCGATTTTGAGTTTTAAATGTGTTCCGAGGTGAATGTACTCCCCAATAATTGTGATTTCGTGATTTTACTTTCTTTCATACGCTTCCCTTCTGTGAAAATGAAATTCTAGGTCGAAATCGCTCTTTGATTTTATACTTCCGATTTTTTTCAGATTGTAGCAGATTTTATTTATTTTTTCAATACATTCTCTCCTTCTGAATTTCGCATTTCAGGCTGGACCTCC